TCACGTGTTCAGAGGTTTCAGTCCCAAGTCAGCTGGTTCCAAGGCAGAAACATCATGGCAGAAGGGCATGGTGGAGGCAAGCTGCTCAGCTCCAGCAGATGAAAAGCCAGGTGGGGGAGGGGAAAAGATCTATTCCCCAAGAGCATGTCCCCAGTGACCTACTTCCTCCAACAATGTCCACCTGCCTACTGTTTCCACCTCCTCCCAGTAGTCCGTTCAAGTTATTAATCCATCAATGGATTAGTCTACTGATGAGGTTAGAGCCCTCATGACCCAATCACTTCTCAAAAGCCCTGGTCATTGCTGCCCTGGGGACCAAGTCTTCAGCCCACAAACTTAGTGGGGACACCTAGATCCAGATCATAATAGTTCATAACGAGGTCGCAAAAAGACAAGCATTAAACAGGTTTTACAAAAAGGACAGGTGGAACTAGCTGAGGGTAGACGCGATAGGTTTGGGCACACTTCTACTGAAGAACCAGGGCATTTCATCAGTTTTGCTCCATGAGGAGAATACAGTGAAGACCTCTCGAGGGATCTTCTACCCTCAAAGGTTGTAATGTAAATATGAAAATATTTTATTGCCCATTTCCTTTCTGGCCACCAGGTCTGATGGTAGCAAAAGAACCAGTGTGACTGTTCACTCAGTAGACACTGAATGAACACAGCTGGGTGCCATGCCCTGGGCATGCAGAGGTGAGATGGGAGCTCAGCGTGTAGTACAAGAGACGGGTGTGCTGAGACACGATCACAGGACAACATAACCAGTGCCTCAGACTAGAGTTATGTGCACTGTGTTTGGCTCAGGGGGCTAGTACTGCTTGGAGAGCTGGAGTAGGGACACCAGAGAAGCTGACCTTTGAGTGGCCCAGTTTGGGCACGAGTAGGTGGACAGGCAGCTGAGTAGGTGGACAGGCAGCTAAGGGAATTCTCCAGGTGGAATGAGCACTTGAGTATGGCAAAGGGAGGTCGACCCCAACTCCTCACCAGAAACATCCCCCTTTCCACCTGGCCTAATCTGCCAACCCTCTCATTGCTTTCCAAATTGTCCTGCTATGTTTTAGGACCCAGTATGGTTTTCCTCCAAGAAGTGGGTGGTTGCAGAGGGTGCAAGGGCAGGGCCTAGACAGGACAGGGGCTTGTTTATTCTTCTTTAGTGACTGCCCTCACAATGCCAGCTCTTCTAGGCTTGGTCCTCATGGTCTTTCTGGTCCTAATGGCCTGGTGGTTTGGCTGAATTTCAGAGCCACTGTGTGGGAACAGGACCTCCACAGAAACCCTGTTGGTTGACTGGAATTTTTATCTGGAAGTTTCCAAAAGTCTTGAGAGAAACTTTACGAATGCAGAAGCTTCCTTGTTCTCCAACATGTGAAGAACTCGACTTCTGTGGTTGGGAGGGAAGAGCAGAAATTAGGATCCTAATCTTTAAAAATGAGAAATCAGTATCTAGAGAGGTGAGATGACATGCCTGAGACAGGGAAACAGCAGTGACTAAATCTGCACCCTACAGGAGGAAGAAATGTTTCCTTCTTCTTCTTTCCAGTCTCAGAACTATGGACTTCCTAACATATTAATATATTGTCACAAAGTACAGAATGTTTAGAGAATAGAAAAGAACAGGGAGGAGAACGGATCCGAGTAGAACGAGTTTATGGTCAATTTTATTTTCCAGTGAACTTTTTGGAGCTAATCCTATAACTAATTTTAATCTTTACAGTTGAAAATCTTTAGAAAATGTGCAGTACTGCACTTTAGCAAAGTGCAGGACGTTTGGACTTTGCCCCAAATTTCTTTTACATTAAGAGATTGTTGTTTAACGCTGGGCTCTGTGGTTCTAGAAGGCACCGGAGACAAAGTTCTAGCTTTAGAGACCACAGGATATCTCGAAGAAGCTGGTGGGTGGATTTTATTTAAACTATGATATCAACTTGTTTTATCTTTCTCCCACGTGAGTGGAGTACAGTATCTAGTTCATTCATTCAGCAAAACTTTGTTGAGCAACTGCTTTGGGTCAGAACTATGGAGGATTCTGGAGACTATGGTGACTCCTGTTCTGCTGGAGCTTTGCCAGTGATGTGACTGCAGGTGGGGCGAGTGAGATACAGCAGAGGTCAGGAACAGGATTGTGGAAGAACTAGGGAGTATAGGCTGGAGGACCAGGGCAGGCTGCTCAGTAGAGGGGATGACTGTGGTGGGCCTGAAGTTGGCCAGTGGAAGAGAGTGGAAGGCATTCCAGGCAGAGGGAAGGGTTTTGGAAAGGAGTATCATCCCCAGGAGGAATGGAAAGATCCAGTGTGCTTCAACACGCAAGCACACACTCACTGTCTTTCCCAGGCACTGTGACCTGTGGAGTTTCATCTGCCTCCCTGGAGCATTGGAGCTGTAGTAGCTGTGAGTTTAATTTAACTTGGAAACTTCCTCTGTGAAAGGGGGTTGTGGAGATCCCTCCATTAGGTTGCTGGGGAGTGTAACAGGTTTACAAATGTAGGTACAGAAACTCAAGAATTTCAAATTCTAAATGTGCTGAGGTCCATCCAGGGCTCTTGGTAAACAGTGTCTCATTCAAGACCCAGGCACACTTTTATTTTAGATCTCTCACCTACAGGCTGTTTTTTGAAGAAGGCAAGTAGCACCTGCCGTGTAGTTTTTCCAGACCTTCAGCTTATCCAGTTTCCCCCAAACTCCTCAGGGCTCGCTCATATCTGCAGGGACTCACGACCAAGGTGCCAGGTCCGCCTTTCTTTTTCTTTTTAAAATTATCATTTCTCATTTGCCATCAGCCTTTTTACTACCTAGCCTCATGCTAGAAGATGTCGGGAGGTTTTGTCACTTATAGAACAATGCAGAATTTTATTTTTTGGTTCTGAGAATTGAACCCAGGGGTGCTTAACTACCAAGTTACATCCCCAGTTCTTTTTTTTTTTTCCCATTTTTTTATTTTCAGACAGGGTCTCACTAGGTTGCATAGAGCCTCACTAAGTTGCTGAGGCTGGCCTCAAACTTGCAGTCCTCCTTCCTCAATCTCCTGAGTCACTGGGATTCCAGGTGTGAGCCGCACCCAGCTAGAACAACACACTTTGAGAATGGGACCCTCCTCCAGTTTTGAGATAAGAGAAATAGGGTTCAAAGAGGGTGAATGATGTGTCTGTATCACTGTTATCCAGAGACACAGTGCTGGCCCAAACAATGCAGTCGTGAGAAAACAGGCAAGGCCTCCACTCCCACGGGCTTCACAGTCTGAAGGTAAAGTTCAGCAGGATTATGGGGCTTTAGGTTCTGAGAATGGTCCAGTTAGACTCCAGGTAGCCCTGGCCACTGAGTGAATTGCTCCAGCTTCTTAGAATTCCACTGCAGCTTGTGCTGTCCTCCTACTGACATGACAAGCCTTCATGCTCTTAGATAATATCAACAAATTCCTTGACCAACTTTCCAGTCCACTGCATTTCTGCTCCAGATATTCAAAGATGCTCTTTTTCTTGCACTTGATGAAGTCTGTTGTGCAGTGGACCTCCATGGGAGCATTATCTGCCTGTGCTCTCTAAAAACTCTGTGGCTTCTGAATAAGTAATGATGACTGAGGTGAGCGTAAAGGGTAAAAGTGCAGCTTTTATGCTCCAGGAATAGAAGGAGGTCTTCTAGAACACAACCATGAAATAGAGACGATCATCCCTTTGGAAGAGAGGTCCACTCGGAAGGCAAGTAACTTGTTTGTTGGTTATAGGGCTGGGGTTTATATTTAGGACTCCTGGCTGAAAGTTCAATGCTCTTTCTACTAGTTAATTACATTAAATTAACTGTGCCAAGCATAGTGCTGGCCCTTAGAATACAGGTAAATAAATATGTATCCTTCTCTCAAGAACATTTTAGTGTAAACAGAGACAAGTGTGTAAGCAGTAATTGTCCTGAAGGTCATGGTAGAGAGATGTCCTGGCTGTAACATGGGTAGAAAGGAGGGAAGGGCCAACTCTGCTTGAGTGAGCAGAGGCAGGTGGATTCATAGACCAAAGAACAGAACCTCCAGCTAGTGGTAGGAAAATGGGCAAGTGCTCACAGATGGCTGCTGCAGTTGGGGGCTCCAGCACTTCCAAAGATGAGGCGCATGGTATAGGATGGTGATGGGTCACAGTGATGTGATGTAGCACGGTGTGGCAGCATATGAAAGGAGTGCCCACGAAGAGTGTCAGGAGACAGCTGGACAAGGACCAGAGGTCTCTGAGCATGCTCATTTTGTCATTTCCCTAGGACATTTCTGCAGTGAAGAGGTTGGTAAAACATCTGGCCCACCCTTTGTCCCAGTAATAATTAGGGGCTCTGTGCAGTTCACTTTCATGCTTCTCATTGTCATGGAAAGAGTTAAATGCTCTCAGCACAGTGACAATCAGGGATAGCCTGGGTTCATCTCCCAGCTTCGCACTAGGTCCTCTGGCCAGTTCCCACTGCCTGCCATTTGCTAGCTACCACCTTAGCTCTCCTCTTTTCACTCCATCCCAAGTCTTCCTTCTCCTTGGGACTTACGCTCCCTCTTCCTTCACCAGCCCAAACCCTCAACTCCTCCACGGCCTACCTCCCATCTCACCACCTCCGCAAGGCCTCCCCCACTGCACCTCAGCTTATCAGGCTGCAGCACTTTCTCCCTGCAGGCTGCCCCCCCTGTCACCAGAACGAGTGTACCTCCATTTCCTTCTGGTAACGATGGCGTGTTTGGCATGTCCAGTTCCCTTCATATTGTCCACTGTGGCTAGCAGTTGTAGGGGCTCAAGAAGGTAATGCAATTAATGCAATCCAAGTAAATTAGATATCTGAGTACTTTCACAGATACATTTCAGATAAGCATTCGTCCTTATTTGCTAAGGTGAGGTAGGAGACGAGCTATGAAACATGTTTTTCTCCATCTCTGTAGCTGGCACATACCTCCCATCTGGCACATTGGGCACATACTCTGGTGCCCGCTCTGGGAATCTGTCAGGGAGTGTCCACACAAGCCCCGCCCTCAAGGAGCCTACCTTCTTGCTGTCCGAAGCAGAAGCCTGAGAATAGCAAAATGGCCCAAATTGGGAGACATTCAGCAAAATAACTGATCAATAGTCTTCCGGGATATCAGAGTCCTGAAAAGGAGAAAGGCGAAGGACTGTTATACATACTGGAGACGAGGAATAAATAACAATAAATGCAACCTGAGATCCTGAAACCAGAATAAAGGATGTTAATATAAGCTGGTGGAGCTCGAATGGGGTCATGAGTTGGTGCCATAATTTCTTGGGTCTGATAATTGTACAGTGAATGTGTTTAGTGTTAACATTGGGACAGATTTAATGGGAGACAGGTGGAAACCACATTATTTTTTGGAGGGGGGTTCCAGAGGTTGAACTCAGGGGCACTCGGCCACTGAGCCACATCCCCAGCCCTATTTTGTATCTTATTTAGAGAGAGGGTCTTACTGAGTTGATTAGCGCCTCACTTTTGCTGAGGCCGGCTTTGGATCGGGATCCTCCTGCCACAGCCCCTCAAGCAGCTGGGATGCGCCAGGGTGCCCAGAAGGAAACTGCATTATTTTTGCAACTTTTCTATAAATCTAGAAATAGTTCAAAACATAAAAAATCTCCGAGCAGAGTCCTCAAGCCCTCTTTTTTTACTTTCACCTTTTTTTTCCATTAAGGACATTTTTCAACCAATGCCCTTGTTCTGTGGCTTTTACTTCTCAGACATCTCTTCAACCTCCATTCCTGTGTCTAAACTGCTGTCATCTTCCATTGTATCTTTCCTGGAGATGTTGAGCTCCTTCGGGTTCAGAGGAGCCATGCTCTCTTTGTGGACCTCCATTGCCTCTCCTTCAAAGCCCCTCACCTACCCTTCTCTTCTCACCTGGTGAACTTCCCTCATCCTTCAGAAGTCCCTGGCCCTGTCTGTGGGCTGGGCCTCCTCCTGCAGCTTCTGCAGACACTACACTCACTGTGCACTCATTCACCTCATGTTGTCACTTCTGTATTCCCCTCCAGACTGTAGTCCCTAGGGGAGCAGGTGTTGTGTCCACGCTGGGACCATCGCTTCCCAATACCTTACATGGAGGCTGGCACCCATTCAATGAATTTTTGTTGAATGAATGAACCAACATTTTTAAGCATTAAAAGTACTCACAAAACACCAAAGTTCCTCATTCTGTGTATTCACAAGAGATTGGCAGGTTCCCAGGAAGCAGAACACCTTACCATCAAGGGTGTATATGTGAGCAGAGGGGTGGGGGAACAAGTTCAAAGTGTTGCTTAACATAGGCACCAACCATTACATTCTGATCAGAACTGACAGAGATCCCAGGATGTGGGACTTATAGTGCTAAAACTGGGACAGTCCCACGGACCATTGGTCACCCCAAAGAATGCTCCAATTCATTGCTTTGTAAACTGTTAAACCCAAGAGACAGCACTCAGGTGCTGAAGCTGCTTGTGTAGTGGAGAAGCATTTGATGACTGGTTGATTGTGCCTGTTTACACACTTTGGGAACTAAGAGCCAGCAGCTCTTTGCCAGGCCTCTTAGATAAGGAGGTGTGATCTCTGAGCCCCCCTATTTAATCTCACATAGGGCAGGCAACCCGAAGGATCTCAACATCTTAGATCTCTCACACAAAGCAAGATCTCTAGCACAGGGCTTTCCAAGACTTCAGTATGGATATGAGTAGCCTAGCATCTTTGCTAAACTATGGATCCTGATTCTGCAGGTGTAGGGTAGTGCCCGAGATTCTGCATTTTTTATACGTACCCAGGCCAGGGGACTTCTGGTCCACAGACGATGCTTTGAGTAACAAAGGGTCAGTGGTTCTCATCCTTAGGTATGAGAATTTTCTGGAGGAATTTTTGGTGTCCAGCCATGAAACCAGAGCAATTGAGTCATTTTCTAGGGTGGGACCAGTCATCGTATTTTTAACTTTTCCCAGCATTTCCTATGTGCAGACAGGACTGCAAATCCCAGGAAAGGGAAGTAGAGAAAAATATCACTTGATGATAAAGGCTGATTGATTGGTCCAGATGGGCTAGGCTGTGCTGTCAAGAGATTCATTGGAAGTTGAATCAGAAATCTAAAAGAGGGAGCTTATTTTGGAAAGCCTAGAGGCAGTATTCTTTAAAAAAAAAATCAGGGTTTAATGGTTTGTGTTTTTTTGGCATCGAGCAGGAACCCACCAACATTTCCTGAGCCCTTAGTGAGATGGCAGCTACGTGCAATTAAGGGGTGGGGAGAAAAAGGGAGAGAGCAGAGACCTCCCCAAACCAGAGAAGCACAGGTTTCAGACCAAATCATCTACATCGGTCCTCTAACTATTCAGTATCTTTTATTTCCTTGCTTGTCAATGCTTCCTAGTAGCTGTTCCAGACATTTCTCTTTCACTTCAAGTTGCCAATCAGACGACCTTGCCTCCTACTTTCCTGAAAAAGTTGGGGTCCACCATTCACATGCCACCATCTTCCTCCTTCCACTTACCATTACTCTCTCAGCCTCTGCAGTTGTCTCTCTTTATCTAGCCTGTCCCTTTCCGTATTTGGAAAGAAGCATGCTGCCTCTTTCCCAAGGTGACCCCACAGTGGTGCTCTTCCATGTCTACGTGGACTTGGCTTCATCCATTGCAACCCCACTTGGACATCTGCAGTCCCTTCCCCTCCACCGGCTCCCTCTCCTCTGCACACGGTGCTTGTGTCTGTAATACCCCTCTCTTTCATCTCCTCATGCCCTGGTTTCCATTTCCATCGCTGATTTAAAATGTTCTTTGGAAGGTCTCCGATAACCTAATTGTAGACATCAGTGCCTCTTAGAAGACCCACCCTCCCCTCCTGATTCCCCCCCTTCTCGATCAGGTACCTTGCTCTCTTGGTTCTCTTTTTCTTAATTTCCATGTGCAGTGCCTAAGAGGACCAGCTGCTCCATACCAGCCTGCTTCTGGTAAAATCCTGTGTCGACTTCCTTCTCCACCCATGGTGATGAGATCAATGGCATGATTGAAACACAGCCAGCATTTTCCCACCCCATCCCCCAACATATCACCAAATAGAGCAGAATAGGACAGGGAAAAAATCAGAGCACACTACATATAGGAAGCATAAGTATAGTCACCTGTCGCAGAATACCATTTCAATGGTTCCAGTGATGGACCACATATGCAATGGTGGTCCCATAAGACCACCTTGCCCAGTGATGTCATCTGAGCTTGTGTAAATACATTATGTGATGGGCACGCACGGATGAAATTGCCTAGTGGCACATTTCTCAGGATATATTCCCATGGTTAAGCAAGGCATGACTATACTGTGTACTTTAGCTACGGATGACTGTAAAAGTTGGGAACTTTCTGTGCTAGTTTGCCCTTCTGTACTACCAAGCTGGGAAGTAAGAACGACACTTCCCAGATCTCTGTAAGGAATGCAACATTTCTAAGATCAAAGTAAGCCTATCTTCTACTAAACTGAGCCTTCTCCCAAGTTCTCTATATTGCTAATGGTTTCACCGGGATGCTCTGTGACTTCGCTGCCCCCCATTCATACTGAATTGGTCACGAGGACCCAGCGTTCGCTCCCTGGTATTCCTCCTCATTTCTACTGCAGTTACAGACAGAACTACTCAGACCCAGAGAGCCCTCCCAGCTGCTCTTCCCTCTCTAGTTTCTCCAAGCCTTCCAGCCTTTAGTTAGAATCCCCAACTGTCATCTTCTAGCTGCCTTAGGAACACCGGGGGACATTTCTAAGCTTTAATATCCTTACCTGCAAAGTGGAAACTCAATACTTTTCTCACAGGACAGTTGTACAGAGATACAGAAAGAACACACACACACACACACACACACACACACACACACACACATACCTATCTACCTACCTACCTAGGGATGGATAAAGGATCCTTAAGAATCTGGCACAAGTTGGATCTCAGATATTAGCCTCACGTTTCGGCCACTGTGGATCCCCTATTCTCCAGGGTGATGGTGAGAGGTACCTGAGTTAAGATGATGAGGCTGAGAGCGTGGAGCACGTATGATGGAAACAGTGAATTTATAAGAAAAGACTAGAGTTCCTCTCTCAGCCCCACGAGGATACAGCAAGAAGGCAGCCTGCTGCAAGCCACGCAGAGAGGCCTCACCAGAAGCCATCCATGCCGGCACCCTGATCTTAGAGTTCCCAGCTTCCAGAACTATGAGAAATAAGCATCTGTTGTTTAAGCCACCCAGTCAGTGACATTTTACAACAGCCCAAACTAAGGTATCTGCTACCAAACCATCTATAGCTCCCTATTGTTAACCGATTAATGTGTCTCAGCTCTGTTCTTGTCCCCAGCCTGCCCACAGCCTTCCACTTCTGCCGTCACTTTCCTTGTCCTTTTGGGCAGGGGGACAATGTGCTGTTCCTCCCATAGTCATGCATGCTCCCATCACCGAGCTCTCTTTCCAGGCCTCTCTTTCTGCCTGCCCTGTCCTGCACTCAGCCACACCTGTCCCCTGTAGTCACCACTACAGTCCTGCAGGAGGTATCACCTGCTGTGCCAGCTGGGAGCTGGGGAACAGCCGGCCTCTTAGAAGGGAGGTGGAGCTCCCAGGTGGAGGAGAAGGCGGTGTGGGGGCCTTTCTAGGGGCCTGTGGGAACTAAAACTTCAGCCCACTAACTTCCTTATAGGGGCCCGAATCCGACACCATGGCCCAGGTTCACTCATTATTCTGGCTGGAATAAATTCTAGAATTGAACACCCTATCCTATTCCCATGGCCACATATAAACTTACACCCAGTTCCTGGCCACTCCCATAGATAGCTATCCTAGGCTAGTCAGACACACACACACACACACACACACACACACACACACACACACACACACATACCTGGTCTGGCTCCTCTTGAAAACTTGGAGGATGAGGGCTCAGCGGGCCTCCTCCTCCAGGAGACAGTCCTGGGCTATTGCTGAGAGTGGTTGCCCCTGACAATGGGCAGTTGGCTACAGCCATCTGCACCCCCCTTCTCTGACCCCTGGGCACATGGCTGACATGTAGCACTGCTGATATTGGGGTTCTTCTGAGTGGCTGGTGAGCAGCTGTGATCTGGGATCTACCACCATCCTGGACATTCCAGTTTCTCTCTCACCTTCCCGGAAAACTCAACAGGACCCAGCAAATAAAGGGCCAAAGCTAGCACAATAGGTGGCCTCTGGAGCCTCTTCAGGGGGGCTAAAGGGAGCTGATGGTTGGTCTCTATGCTCAGATGTTCTGGGTTGAGCCTGAAACAGCATGGGGAACAGGGTGGAGCACACAGTAGGTTGATTGTTGACTGACTGTGGACTGAGGCCTGCTGTGCTGGCTTCCTCTCCTCTGTCTCCCTTCTTCCCTGCTGACAGAACCCGTCCCTCCATCCTCCCTGCAGGGTCCCCTCTCCAGCCTCATTCACCCACAGGAAGGCAGGTGGGTCCCCCACCCTTGCCCCTCTTGCAGAAGCCAGAGGCTGGGATACAGATGGTGCTTTCTGCTCGTGGGCAGTCCGAGTAGTCATCCATGAGAGACGGTGGGTGTCATCAAAACCAGGCTATTTCTTAGACAATGGAAACAAACAGAAGAGCCTTCTCAGTCTGGGTGGGGAAGCACCAGCGGGGAGCCGGCAGACTGGAGGAGCTGTTAAATGGTATAAAGTGATGAAAACCGTTCTGTCTGCGTCCTGCTCCACTCTCTCTGCCTGCCTCAGACTGACTCACAGCTGCTTTCCTTCCCCTGACCCCTCCACCCTGGGGTGGGGGTGGACTTGGGGATGAAAGGAGAAGGGGGTAAGAGGAGAAAGAAGAAGCTGTAGAGAGTTCCCAACCTGGACGGAAATCGGGGAGACATTTAACTTCCAAAGCCAGGAGGCTTCCATGTGAATCCTGTGCTGCCCCTGGCTGGCTGTGTGATCTTGGGCAAGGCACCTCACCTCTCTGGGCCTTAGTTTTCATATTTCTGAGTAAACTGAGCGAATAGGGAGCATCTGACTCCTTGCCTGCCCTGATGTTCTGTAGCCCCCACCCCACACTTTCATATATGCTACTCTCAGCACTATTTTCTCTGTTGAAATTATCTGGCTGCCCACGCCCACCCCCCACATGGCCAGGAGATCCTCACCTCCTTTCCCTTTTTGTCCATGAGATCCTAGGAGCATGGAAGGTGGTTGGTCTGTGGAGAATGTGGCCAAACGGGTGGTGGGTTGGGGTGCTAAGACTGTTGCTGGTGCAGCCACATGGGGCTGCTTACACAGAGGATCACTGTCTCCACTGTGGGGTTCACTGCTTTCACACTGAGACACAAACCTGGGACCTCTCTGCCCCTTCCTCCACCTCTGCCAAGGAGCCAAGGTCAGCCTCCGGGGAAGGCCGCAGAGGCAGAGCTGGGGGGTGGGGTGCTGGAAGTTCCTGGTTGAAAGTGAACTTCCATCCCTTTGAAATCATTTTGGGGTTCACATTCACCTGCAGCCCTAAATGAAACAAGCAGACACACTCAGAGGGGAAGCCTCCTCAACGCCCACCTGGAAGGGCCTCCTGGTGGCCAGGAAGTCCAGAAGGTCTGAAAAGCCTGATGGCGGATCTGGCCAACTCCACCCTCTCCACTTCCGGTTTCCTTTGTTTGGGGCCAGGGGTCGGATGGGAAGGGGAGCGGTAGCTTCTCCTGGAGATTCACTTCTCCACCCAAGCCAGGGAAGGAGGGTGGCACTGGGGAGCAGCCCAGCAGGGGGGAGCCAGCTGCTGTTTGATTTAAGGAGTTGTTTTCAATCTCCCCAGCAGGAGGCCCAGAAACGTGGTAGAAATTATGTGCAGAACTTCCCTGAGGCTCCACGCTGCCCTCTTGCCCTGGCTGAGTCCCCCGTGATAATGGGGTCTCCTGGAGGGTCTCTCTAGGATCCCTGGTGATACCCGCCTTATAACTGAGAGACCCCAATAAAACCCAGAGCCCTCCGTCAGTGCCAGCCCCACACCGGGCAAATGAATGAACGAAATGAACAGATGGATGAATGACCAGGGGGGCAGAGGAGGATTTGAAAAGGATTGTAAAACTGCCAGACTCCCCATCTTAATGCCACTTTCTCTCTTGCTGGAGAAAAACACTTCTTGGCTGAACAGTGAAGATAGGAAAACATGTTTTACAAGAGGAGCGGGGTGGAGAGGAAAGAATGAATGGATTTTGTGTTTTGACATATTTACTAAGAAATGTGGAAACCGCTTAGCACCTGCTAATTAGAGCCAGAGCAGCCCGAGCTCCCTGTGACGAGCAAATGCCACGGGAGCTGAAGCCTGGAGATGGCTGGATTTCCCAAAGGGAATTGTGGGCTTCTCTCCATTGAGGATGGAAGGCCACGCCGAGTGGGAAGGTGGAAACCGGGAACTGGAAATGGCAGGGCCTTGACATGGCACCTTAGATCTCAGCGTCTTTTCTCCCCTCAGAGGCCAAACACTTTCTTCTCTCACAGATGCCAAATGAGGGGGCCTGCTGGGGAGCACTGGGAAAAGGGGGTTTGTTGACCAGTCCATGCTGTCAAACTATAGCTCAGCACCTGCAGCGCTGAGGTCAGTATGTTACGGACCTGGGGCCTCCTGAGGGACTGAGGCAGCCCGAGGACATCCTCTTCACACCCCAGTTCTTGCAGTCAAGTCGGAAAGATTTCCGACAGGTCGCTCAGAGTAACAGGAATGAGTTTATTAAAGGGATGGGGAAAAGGGAAAGGGGACACTCTCAAGGGAGAGAGTGGGTCCTCCAGTTTTATTGGGGATCCCAGAGAAGTTTCTAGAGAGTCTAGCTCAGTCCACCTCTTGACTTTTGACTGACAGCAGGGTAACATCAGACTTTTTTTCTTTTTTAAAACTTTTTGTAGTTGTAGATGGACAGAATGCCTTTATTTTATTGCTTATTTTTATGTGGTGCTGAGGATCGAACCCAGTGCCTCATGCATGCTAGGCAAGCATTCTGCCACTGAGCTACAGCCCCAGCCCCACATCAGACTTTCAAGTCTCCACTGTCACCGCAACTCTAGGTCACCTTGGCCCATGCTGAGTGGTTCTAATTGGATTTGGGGTTTTAAAAAATATTTATTTATTATTTTTAGTTATAAATGGATACAACACCTTTATTTTATTTTTATGTGGTGCTGAGGATCCAATCCAGAGCCTCACACATGGTAGGTGAACGCTCTACCTCTGAGACACCACACAATCCAGCCCTAAATGGATTCTTAACCATACATTCTTACAGATTTTATGGTTAGGAGGAACTATCCTTATCTCCCAGGGTTTCAGGATCTGGTCACAAAAGTCTCCTCCTTTAGTGTAACTTGAGTTTCTCTCATAGCCATTATTTTTGGCCGGCATTTCTCCTGCAGCAAATAGGTAGTTTGCTGAGGAATGTAACATATCCTGTCCACTGAGGCCAGGCAGGGCTGCAGGTAAATTGCTTCTTGGAACAGAAAGCCTGTGAGAGTCAGCACAGTGGGCTCATTTAATAGAATTATTTCCTTAACCTTGTGTTCCCACCATCCTCATCTATCTATTCCCTAACAGAAGGACTGGTTCAAGATCCTCCTTGTGGCTGGGCACTAGACCCTGTAATCCCAGTGTGGCTGAGGCAGGAGGATCACAAGTTCAAGGCTACTCTCAGCAACTTAGCAAGGTACTAAGGAATTTAGGGAGAACCTCTCTCAAAATAAAAAATAAAAAAGGCTGGGGATGTGGCTCAGTGGTTTGAGTGCCCTGGTACCAAAAAAAAAAAAAAAAAAAAAGACCCTCTTTCTCTGGCCATTCACTAACTCGTATTTCTCTTGAGAGCTTACCCATCTCTCTTCTCCAATCTCAGGGCAGCCAAATTTTCAGGAGCATAGACCCTGCATTCCCCTGCTTGCTCTCTGTATCTTTCAGGAAAGTCTCTGGGCCTGGGAGATAACCCAGCACTCACTTTATAGGGTTGTTGTCAGGAGTAAATGGGATGCTCCACAGAAAGACCTTAAACTTAGCAAGTACTCAATGAATATGGACCATCACCTGTGAAGATCCTGCAGTCCCAGAGCCAAGAGTCTCCTAGCTCAGCTGATGATTAGGTGTGCGAGTCCTTGGGTCAGAGTCTGTTCTGGAAAATGGACACTGCTAGGTAATCCAAGGAGGGATTGTAATGCAGGGGACTAGTTACAAAAGATTGGAGGAGCTGGGAGTGCAAGATGCTGAGGCAGAGCAGAGGCCCTTGTCCTTAAGCTGAAAGGACAGGAGGAGGTGGGTTACCAACATCCGAGAATCCAAGCTTCCCAGTGAACGCTGGGACCACCCAGGAGGAGAGATAGTACCAAACTAGTTGGAACTACTGTGGTTTCTCCCTAACTCCCACCTTCCTCCTGGCAATGGCACTGAGGTAGATGGCGGGAGTGGGTGCCCTGCGACCTAAAGCAGAAGAGGCAGGGTGGGGAGGGACTGGGCTTGTCACTAACCCTCCTTCCCTTGAGTGTTCTAAACTGAGTAAGAAAAGGTGAGGAAGAGAAGGAACTGCCTATGATGGCTGGGAGGATGATTGGAGAAAGGCAGCGCAGAGTCTGGTCATTCACCAAAAAGGTGCTCAAGTTGTTCCCGCTCAGGATCCAAGGCCCAATGTCGTCACTCACCTGTGTGATCTTATACCATTTTGCTCATACTTTTATCAGGGTGTTTCTCACATGGCAGTGCCATTTTGGATCTATTACCTGACTCTTCCACCAGAGTACGGCTCCCAGGAGCCCCTTTCCCTGTTGGTACCCCTCGAGTGCAGACCCTGCAGGTCAACATGCAGCGCTGCACCATCCAAAGCAGCCTCCCAGCATGGCTGGGGCTGAGGACTGTGGACTCCCAGCCAGGGTCACTAACAGGATTTAAAGGAGGGAAGGAAAAGAGGGAGGAAGAGACAGGAGGTCAGAGGAAGATGGATGGCTCAGGGTGGGGGTTCATTCCAGGTCATGAATATGTAGCAAGACTTGTGAGGTCTGGTTTCTAAGCTACCGGGTGACAATAGGACTGGGGCTGGGGCTCAGCGGTAGAGCGCTTGCCTGGCATGGGTCAGGAGCTGGATTTGATCCTCAGTGCCACATATATATAAATAAATAAATAAATAGAATAGAATAAAGGTATTGTGTCCATCTACAACTAAAAGTATTAAAAGAAAAACTCTTGATTTTCATTTATAAAAATCACTATGAAAGTTTTAGAGATTTCAGGTAAATAAAAAGAAGAAAATAAAAATTATCCATAATGCCAACCCCCCAAATAACAGTAAATATTTTGGAGTTTATCCATGCAGTCATACACATATGGCTTTTTTTTTCTTACTACAGCAGTGTCAGTCTGTTTCACAACCTGTTTTTCTTTTTCTTTCTTTCTTTCTTTTTTTTAACTTAACAATAATGCTTTAACAACTATCCAAAACATTAAATATTCTTTCACAGAGCACATTTTAAAGCTTCATAGCAGGCTGTTGTAACACTTTTACTCAATTTATTTAATCAACCCCCCTTTTATTGAAATTTTAACTTGTCTTTACTATTTTATCATAGTAGATAATTCTATTAAGACATCCATGGAATCTAATCTTTTTTTCACATTGTTATTATTTCTTTAGGACAATTTCCTAGAAATGCAGTTGTTGATCAATGAACACACACATACAGATTCTAGCAAGGGTTATTGAATTGTTTTTAGAAAGCCATTTTTCTTCTTCTTCTTCTCTCTCTCTCTTTAAATCTATTTGCATTCTCTGCTTATAGAGGAATTGGTTCTAGGTAAATTCACCACCACCGAATTGCTCTAAAGCCATTTCTCCAAAAAAATTGATTCACCAAATGGCCAATTCATAAATAGCAAAGTAGGAAGATATATAGATAGACCAACAGCCAGACAGACAGACAGACAGCCAAAGCCATTAATGAAATAACCAGTTAACAGAGCAGGCAACTTAACAAATATACTGATGAACATAGTTATAAAGCGCTTTCTATTGCTCAGGAAGGTTCGCCTATGGTTTTTGGAGACTGCTATCAAATTTGAGAGGACCTGTTTACATTTTGTTCTTTAGGTAACAATTTAAGGATGGCTCAGTTTGTTAAAATGATGAGGCTTTGTGAGTGAGCATCTTTAATATTCAAAAAGTGTTTCTCCTTGCTGGAAACCAGAATGTCGCCATTCTAAATGGGCAGTAGCTACGTATTTCTTTTGAATTCTTTTCCATGTCATTTTTGGTTGCAACACGTAAAATTTTTATGAGTTTCCAGCTAATTTCTAATACTTCCTCAGTGTGTTTCTAGCAATTGGTGAAATTTAGTATATGTTTTGAGGGTTGCTGTCACTTCTGAGTTGCCCTCTCAGCTTACCAACCCTCTGGCATTTTTAGGATTAATAACCAGTTTGCTTTTAATCTTCCCTCAATAATTTCATATTGATGAGTCACTCGTGCTTTTCATTATTAGTGATCTTCTTGGTTTCTGTGCTTCTTTTCTGCTGCTTTTTCAAACTGCTTTGAACAGTTTGCCCTTTCATGACAGCCCTTCTCCAAATTGCTCCGAAGTCTTCATATCCCAATTACTCCTTGCTGAAACCAGAATGTCAGGATTTCATATTTGATGGGACTGTCTCTCAGATTTCTTTAGTATTCTGGGAACGTGCTTTAATATTTTCTATTATATGC